TGCGCGGTCACCACGCGTGTCGCCCGCGCCCACGATGTACACTAGAGTATAGCTGCAGTTGCCAAGTGAGCAACCCTTGTTGTAACATATAAACATTCATGTGAGATCAATGCAAACATCGTTGGTTCTCCTATACTCTTTCTACAGTTCGGACCAGAAACCAAAAGCAAGGTTTGGCAACCCTAAAAATCTCTGTAAACTTGAGAGTATGTCTTTTGCTCCTGGCAACCGGTTGTCAATTTCTATTGGATCCCTCTTTCACCATAAAGCAAATGCTTACCTTGGTCGGTTCTAGTATGTGGCAATGGAAGTCCATTCTTGTTTCCTGGACAGACAAAGTGGAAAGGAAGGTGAAAACAACTAGAGAATAAACCAGATAGCAAAGCCAAGTTTCAGTTACTAACCAACAGAGAGTCAGACCGATTATTCTGGTGCCACCAATTGAGGTCTTCACCACATGAATTGCATCTGCAAGCTCAGCCTCAAGTGCATTGGAAAACATTAGAACACGCTGTTAGAGTTAGCATTTCATTTTCTTCCACTAAAGGAGTCCAATAACTCAAATGTCAAGTCAAAAGAAATATGTAACACTAACCTGTACAAATTCTCTGGCCCTCCAATAAGCATTTGTCAGCTTGGAGAAAACACCAACTTCATAGTTGCTCTCAAACTGAATACCTGTCCATGACACAAGTTGCAGATTAAAGAATTGGAAACACAAATTCCGTGAGCAGCAGGGTGAAAGGTTAAGCACTCATATTTAGACTACATAAAACGGACTATATCTCTTTTTTTTATGAAAATCCAGACGAGAACAAACCAAAGCATGTACAAGTACATGAACAAAACAGATCCTATACAAGAAATGCTGATTCTACAAAAAAAAGCTAGACTTCACCCGTGCATAGTGGCTAAAACTTATCAAACTGGATGCAACCCTAGCCTCCCAAAATATGGCTTAACTAAGACAATATTAGGTAATCGGTTGCTTTTTTGGTCCCAAAATTTATAGTCTGCCTCTGGTATTGTCATACGTCTAATGATAATGATAGGCCCAAGGTACGCAGCTGGGCCGAAAGCGGACCCAACGTGAACAGTACCCATGGGGTTGTAGCACCACGGTACTGTCCACGCGGTAATGTAGCGTGCCCGCCGCCGTCGCGAGTAGTCGGTTTACATTGATAGGATCTAGAGGAGTCCAAATCTATAAGTACCTTCATCGTTAGATTACTTAAGATGCAAGTCTACACGAGACTATAAATACAGAGGCATTGTAATCATCTGGAATTAAGAAAGAACAGCCTAAGGGCTTCCCTATCCCTCTCCTCTCTCTTTCTCTCTCCAGCGTCTCCCTCTCCTCTCTCCCTGCGCCATCTTCTTCTCCTCTCTCCCCAAACCCTAGCCGCCACCTCTCCTCCACCATAGCCGCCGCCCCCTAGGGCCCCCTCCCAACATGGCTCTTACACCTGGTATCCGGAGACCAGATCGACCCGATGGCCACCACCACCATGATCGCGACCTTCTCCACCTTCATGAACAACCACTTCGCCGAGATCAACGCGAACTTCGACAATCTCAACGCCCGCCTAGACAACATCGAACAACCACGCCCTAAGGTGGACTCCGAATACGACATCCACAAGGTCATCGATAATTGACAGAAGAAGTTTGACGACGAGTTCTTCAACAACGGGTATGCTCTGATCACCAACATTGGGGCTCCCACCGCCGCCAACAGCAGCAGCAGACCCCTGCTGCCTTGCGCCGCCGCGCCCTCGCTGCCTGATGCACCCCGCAGTGAACATGCAACGAGCAGCGCCGCCGCCAGCCTTCCATGCAGCGGCCGCGCCACCAAGTTTCGGGACAACGAATCTCGCCACAACAACGAGGATCCACGTCCCAAGGATATCCTCGACATCCGCATGATCACCGATTAGTGGATGAAGAAGTTCGGCAGCCTCATCACTCGCCCCGACACGCCTGAACCGATAGCAGATCCAAAACTACTTTCGAAAGAGAATTCCTCAGCACCGACACCAACAATACCAATGGAGTCCGAAGGAGGAGCTCCACAAATAACACCAACAATCAGCAACCTCGACACCAAAATCAGCCCCAATTTTGTTGCCACAGATGCATCTAAGGGGTCTTCGGATGGAATCCCCTCAGCAACGATACCAGAGATGCCCCGCAAGGCGCCTATACCTCCACAACAATGGCTGCAATTAGCGGCAACAGAACCATCGTAGACCTCCCAACATCGCTACGCCAGGCCGTTCTTTCCCACGAATGACGTGACAGATCCACTGTCATGGCTCAGTGGCTGCGAGTTCTTCTTCAGAGGACAACATAACTCCAGCAACAAGAAAATCGGGTATGCAAGATCAACAGCTACACCAATTGTGACAAGCACCCCACCAACGACTATGACACGACGCCAGCGTCCCTTGCCCCTTGCTCATGGCCGCCCGACAAGCTACATGCAATTTGGGAGGAACCGGAACCTTCAACTACTACATCTCTAGCTACTTCGGATCTTGCCACCACTGCTTCGTGCTCTCCGCCAACGCCGATGTCACCCTCAGGATGCCATGTTTGGCCGACATTGGGTGCATCACGTGGGATTTCACTTCCATGGTGATGCAATTCCAGCAGGACGAGCGCACAATCTCCTTCACCACCGTTCCTCGCCGATGTGCACCACCGACCGTCCTCGCACTACCAGCACCATCAGCCATCACACCAGTGTCTCGCCATCATGTAGCTACACCATGATCACCGTCGCCACCGCCTCTTCTACGCTGTGTCATGAGCCGAGCAAGAAGGCCACGCCACCCTAACGCCCTAGACCACATCAACACCTGGGGGTCAGTTTTCGACGAGCTTCGACAGGCCGTACTACAACAGTGGGAGCTATGCCACATCGCTACCGACATCAACAATGGCATGGCGGCACCCGCTTGGCCCATCAACTAGGGACTCCTCTTCTTTGATAGGCGCTTCTACGTCCCAGCAACTTCGCCTCTCCTGGTGGACCTGCTGGCCGCACTGCTACTTGACGAACCGGCGTAGGTGCTCAGTCTACATCCACTGCCAACAGCACCAGGCCATAATGCCTCTCCATCGGCCATCCTCCTACGCCAAAACTTTGGCCAATCACGACTCTCTCCGGACGTCTTCAATAGTGGCGAGTTCATGTTCGAGTACGTCAACATCAAGCTCGTCAACAACAATGACATTCAAGTCGACCTCAAACGAGCGACAAGAGACTTTCAGTCGCAACAACCTCTCCCTCGACAGCAACCATGGGACACCCTGAGCTGCATAGGGCGACCCCGATGCGTGAACACGTGGGACGCTGCTGAGCCTAACACCACCATCCTTGTCCACATTCATCAAACACTCAAGGAAGAGCCTAGCCTACGTACCACCATCACGACCACAGGCGGCACTGCAACACTGGCTTGGTCACTCGACCAAGGGATCATCGTCGACTTCGGCAGGTACTTCTACCTGCAGGCACCATCACCACCACGACTGAACTCGCTGGACTTCCTCCTTGCCATTGGGCGAACGACGAACCAACACTTCATCGCCAAACACTTCCACGCTACAGCAACCCCGACGTTCCTTTCTGCGAAAATCGGCTACATCAACACACACACCACAACTCCAGAGACCGCCACCCCATCATCGCCACAGCTCGAGCCGAGCTTGGGCCAACATCGCCCACCAAGCCATACTACCACCTCGTCGTCGGCTACAATGGCAATCTCCATCTCCACAACGAGCCCATCATCAACAACACGGCGATCAAGCTAAAGTGCTTCATCTTCAGCATACATGTGATTACTTTTGAGGAGCCTTCCTTCCAGAGCAACGTCAACAACCGAGCAAGGATGCAGCACGAGGACGCGTTGCGTGGAGAAGGGGGGAGAGATGTCATACGTCTAATGATAGGCCCAAGGTACCCCACTGGGCCGAAAGCGGACCCGGCATGAACAGTACCCGCGGGTACTACAGCGCCGCGGGTACTGTTCACGCGGTAGTGTAGTGCACCCACCGCCGTGGTGAGGAGTCGGTTTAGGATCCAAAGGAGTCCAAATCTATAAGGACCTTCCTCGTCAGATGACTTAAGATGCAAGTCTACTCGAGACTATAAATACAGAGGCATTGTAATCATCTGGAATCAAGAAAGAATAGTCTAAGGGCTTCCCTATCCCTCTCCTCTCTCTCCCTCTCTCCAGCATCTCCCTCTCCTCTCCTGTGCCATCTCCTTCTCCTCTCTCCTCCACCATAGCCGTCGCCCCTAACCCTAGCCGGCGCACCCCTAGGCCCCCCTCCCAAGAGGGCTCTTACAGGTATGCTGCATAAATCGTGAAATGATATCTAAAAAAGCTATCAATCGTCTATCACGAAACCAATGAGTTGTTTGGCTGAATCTGATTTGGTGTGAGAGAAAAACACGGTTCCATGCTGATAAGTTCAAGCGAACATGGTGCAATACTCTGTGACACCTGAATCACACAGATACAGTCCAATCGTCAGCAGCGCATGGTCATGGTTCAGGTGCACACATCTTGTACCTATGAACACTAACGAACAAAACTGAGAGTACTATCAGAGGACAACACATCATTCAGGCAGTATGTAAAGCAAACACCTGTATACAACCAGAAAACCAACAGCCTAAAATCAATCAGTGATCAATGTAGTGGCAGCCTAATCATATATAATAGTAGGAGTACTCCGTATTAACTAAAATGCACAAACAAACTACAAACGTGCATCTAACAATCAGATCAACCAATTCAGACACGGATTCAAGAAAAGAAATTGTATTATGTATGCTATGTATGTAGTAGTAATAATTTGAGAGCAACAAAAGAAAATTTAGAGCAAAAAATGTACATATACGCGTATCTATAGACGAACCAGAGCTCAAGCTCAACCGCTACTACCACTAGTTGTAATCAAGGATCAACGAAGGAATGATGGATCTAGCTGATGCTCCTCTCCATCATCTCGTTGTACTGCAGCCACGAGATCTGGCGCTGCAGCTTCATTTGCGCGTAGAACCTGGCGATGAACTCCTCCGCCTTGACGTCCACCCCGGCGTCCTCGCCGCCGTCCCCTGCCACCATTGACCCGGCCGTGCTCGCGCGGCAGGCCTCCGCCACCACGCGCTCCAGCAGCTGCTCGTCATAGCCGCAGCAGCTCAGCTCCTCCTCCTCGACGTCGCGCGAGCTCCGTGGGTCGTCGTCGCCGTAGCAGCAGTACCCGGCGCCCTCCTCGTCCATCTCCCGTGCGGCGGCGGCGGCGAAGAAGTAGCGGTGGTCGTCGTCGCCGTAGAGGCCCGGGGTGTCCGGCAGGGCCGGCGCGATGCAGGGGATGAGGCGGAGCACGCGCGCGGACGGGGTGCGGAACCGGAACGCCGGCGTCTCGTCGATGGAGTACTCGCGCTCGCCACAGCGGAGCCGGTCCCGGTCGCCGCGCGCGCCGGCGAGGACGGCGAGGCCGTGGCCGTGGCGGCGAAGCGTGCGGAGGAGGCGCAGGCTGTGCGCCACCACGCCGCCCTTCCGCGCCCACAGCACCGCCAGCCGCAGCAGGCGCCACGCCCGCGTCCCGAACGACGACGACGGCTTCTTCATCGCCGCCTTCCCCGCCGCCATTGCGGTGCGTCGAATGGAAAATGCTGCCGCTGGATCGTTGCTCTGCCCTGCTTTGCTCAGGTGACTGGTTGCTTCGAACGTTGGTGAGATGCCGAGATGAGAATGAGATGAGTGGGGCAGGGAGAGGGAGAATATAAATAGGAGCTGGCGGGGTGTTGCTTGCGCGCTCCCGTTTGCAGCGGCGCGGGCGCGGGAGGAAGCGAACGCGTTTAGCAGTTGCCTGCCCGCCCGCCCCCATTGCCCCTTGGCAGTTGGCGTTAAGCTGGAGGGGGCGTGGCGTGTGGGGCCCGGTCGCCAGGACGAAGGTGTTGCTTGGTGTGCGTGATTGGGGCTGGGTAGTCGGTAGAGACTAGAGAGTAGAGGCAGGCCTAGCAGGAGACGGGGAGAAGGGGCTTCGGGCAACCGGGATTCCCTCTGCTTGATGGGCGGGACGGGGGTGCGGCCAGCCGGCTACGGCTGTACTCCCTGGGAACGTGGGGGCCGCGCCCCTGTCGTGGCCTTGGTCGGCCCTCGATGCGGCGAGCGAATTCCTGGGTTTCCCTGAGCTCGCAGTTGTTTTTGTTTTCCCCACACGGTTTTGCCCAGGGGGCGGGGAGACGACGGTCCACATCCCTCGTTTTGCTGCGTTTCACCGCGCCGTGGCTCCGGGCGGCACGCAAACTCTGCAGTGCGTTGCTTCTGCCCGATTACCCCTACCACTACCGGGCGGTTTCGCGCTACCTGCTGCAGTATTTCGTTTCCAGCCAGTTCTGAGCTGCAATGCAGCGGCAGTTTACCTGATCAATTGATTTCTTTTTGTATCACGGGCACGGCTTCCCTGACCAACAGTATCATGTGAGATCACCCACTTCCTCAGTCACAAAAAAAAACACATTTCATTTTGGATTACTCAACCAGTTTTAAATTTGACTATATTTAACTGAAATAGTATTAGCATATCCATATCGAAATTGGCTTACTGTAACACTATAAAAATGTATTGGATGATTAATCTAATGATATTTACTCGATTGATATTATAAATACTAATATGTTTCTGTATATTTGGTTAAACCTGAGGTTGGTTAATTAAGCCATAAAAATGGGGAAAATTGGCTCTTAGAAACGGAAAGTGACCACGCTTTGCTACTGGATGTGCAAAATGAAGCGATTTGCTAGAGCGAATCAAAAGTGACCACGGGGCGCGCGTCGACGTGGGAGCGCGGCCTCCCCCACCACCGCGGGGGCACAGGAGCGCAGAAGCGCGTGGGGCCTGGGGATGGATTGGGAGAAGAAGTGGCTGCCCGGCCACCAGATTAGGGAGAGGAAGGCCGCTGGGTCTCTCACAAGCCGTCGACGAGAAAGAAAAGAAACGACCGAACCAAGGTAGAAGAAAGGGGCAGGAGTAAAAAGGATATTTTGCTGCCCTTCTATCTCCTCACAAGGCAAAAATTAATATTTTATTGGACGGAGTGTCCACCATCAAATTTATCAAGAACCAGAGTGTCCTCCAGTAAATCACTTCATTTTGCATGTCCAGCAGCAAGGCGTGATCACTTCCAGTGTCAAGAGCCAATCTTCCCTAAAAAAAAATCAGATGTGTGCTCTTTTCTTTTTCCAAACCACGTCCTGGTGGCTAGCTCTGCCTAGCTGTTCATTTGGGGGGACGTACCACTGTACCAGTACGTGTCATCGTGATTATTAATAAGACGTGAACCGCGTATGACGCCCCGCTGGGTCAACTACCAGCGTAATTTCCGCGGTGGAGTACCACGACAACAGCATAGCCTGAACGGCCTATAATGCGGCACAGGACCAGTTGAAATCATACAACAGCAGTTCCGTGTGCCGCACAATTGAAATCATACACGCCACTCGCAACGGTGCCGCTCTCAAACATAGGCCCCGTTTAGATCAATTTTTTTTTGAATTTTAGCTACTGTAGCACTTTCGTTTGTATTTTGCAATAAGTGTTTAATTATGGACTAATTAGGTTCAAAAGTTTCGTCTCGCGATTTCTCACCCAACTATGCAATTAGTTTTTTTTTCATCTACATTTAGTACTTCATGCATGTGCTATAAGATTCGATGTGACAGATACTACGCAAAAAAATTTAGAATCTAAACGGGGCCATAATAAACACAGCTGTATATTATTACAGTAAAATTTCAATGATTCCACCTCACAAGATAGCTTTGGAAAAAAATGAGTTAAGCATTCCATTGAATCTGTACAGAACATGCGAAATATATCCAATGAGCACTTAAATCGCAAATGTAGAGCTCGGACAAGGTACGTTTGGTTGGTTACCCCAACTTGCCATGCCACAACGCAACTTTCGTGCCTAAGTTTTGGTTCGCTGCCGAACTTGGCATGCCGCAGCCTCGCCATCGCATCCTTTCATTTTTTACGCCAAAAGGTGCCACAAGTGTGGCCGATGAATTGCTCACTGTAGTTTTGGCGCGGCCGCAACAGCGGCGCCAATCAAACAAGGCCTTAAGGCCGTACCATTTTAGGTTTTAGGGCTACACACATGACCTTTTTGGCATGGCTCAAAACACGGTATTAGCGTGGCACGGCACCATATAAAAGGCATAAATTTTGGGTCATGCCTAGATCAGCTGTTCGGCTGATGGTTTCTGCGACTGATAATTCGGTTGATGTTGATTTGTTGTGAGAGAAAAATACGATACCATAACTGATAAGCTGGGCTGATAAGTTGAAGCGAACAGGGTCACATCTTAGGCTGTGCTTAGGCAAGTGGCACGGAAAATTATGCACATCTATTGGTGCTTGCCTTCTCTTCTCGGTCCAGCGTAACAACAATCATTCAAGAAAACACAAAATGTGTCTTTGAACATGAAATGTGTAGGCATTTATTAGTTTCTATCGGAAAGACATGCTATAGACATGTCGTCTACAACATCGTCTAGAACACACAATCAGATCTCGATGCAATAAAAACTGTGCAAGCTGATAAGCTACCAAAAAAAGATTTGTATAGTATCGCTGCGGGCTACGGCACGAATACGGACCGACGGGCCATGAGCCATGCTTATGCGAAGGAAAAGACCTGACCTGTCATGGCCTGAATGAAACAACATAAAGCACGAGAGGGGCGGGTCGGCCAGCACAGCACGAGGCCAGGTCCCACCTCTACTCAAATGCACCAAGATGTTCATTCTGCTAGGATGCATAAACTTAGCAACACTTGAAAAATTGAGACAAGATTGCATAAAATTGAAAAATTGTAGACAGCATTAAAAAAAGATTATCAACATGACATGCTTAACAAATAATTAATGCCAAAAAAAAGCAAACAAAGGAAGCTTCCCAACAAATTTCAGGCAAGCAATAAACACCAAGCGGTAACAAATTTCTAATAATCCTCTGATATCTGGGGCCACACCCACATGGTATCCCCAGGCTGACAACCAGAAACAGTAGTCAAAGAGTGCTGTCGTGCACATACTACCAAACTGCTCCTCACAAACACACCTCGTTGTCACATTCAGAATACCCAGGTTGCTTTTGTGCTAAGGCTCAACTAAATGGACAGTTCAACTGAATTTGAAGCTTTGCATCAAGGGAGATCTGCAAAAAAGAGCAATAATACAGGCCATCGGCAACCCTAGTACTTAAAATTAAGGTCACTGCTGTCAACCACCATCTGGTATTTTGGTTTGGATCCACTAGTAAGTAATAGTCCAGTATTAGCTAGGTACCTATTAGTTGGATGTTGTTTAGATCCACTCGCTAAAAGGTACTCCTAGATGCATCGGTGGTTTTGTCTTTAATGCCCTTCCTCTTCTATTTGCTATTGATACAACACATGGATAAAAATAGGTGGGAGGGCAGAAGTGTCTTTTTGCAACCTATTAGCTGCTATTAGCTTGGTTGGGATAACTAGTGGATAGTTATTAGTTAGACACAACTGACCAATTAGATGGGTCCGTTTAGGAGCAGGATGGATTCGAATGGGGCCTAATATAGTAGTATCTACCAGTTGCCAAATGCTAATGATGGGCGTGACGCATTGAACCAAGAAGTAGCAGCCACGAAATGCCAGGAGAAGGTTGCCCACACTAATAAACTGGGACAGCACAAGTGCACTGTGCACAACAAGGTAAAGTGCAACTACGACAAATAGATTCAGGTCGAAGGACCTGAAAAGTCAAGGCCCAGACTGGATGTCCCAGATAAACGGCATACAAGACTTGCTTGATATGCTCATTTCAGTTATGTAGAGACACGAACAGTTTCGGTTCTAAATTGCATCTAAATTAGTATTTTCCCTAACTTATGAGAAAAGGAGAACGATTCTGGGAGAGATTCAGCAAAGATTAAAAAAAAAGCCAAGGAAACATAAAAGATTTCCCAAGGAAGGCACTTATCAGTCATACGACAGTATAACCTTCTGAATTTATCATATCGAATGAGAAAATGAGCTTCAAGTGCCTCGATTTTTTTCCTTTCTTTTTGGGGTTACAGATGCATGCACACTCACTAGTCCCTACCAGACAACTAGATTGTGAAGCCCAAGGCTAACTCTATGACTTCGTGGAGCAAAAGTTCATGCCACTAAAACAATCCATTGCGCCTCAAATTGGAATTTGAACCTCAGTCAGTGGGGTAGCTATACTCCCACAACTTCACAACCAAATGAAGAGGTGGCTCAGAACAGGGAAAGAGTCATAAAGTGCACCAGATCTCATATTAATTGAGTAAATTTTAGGAGGTTTATACAAGAAGTCTAAATGCACTTGTAACGGCCAAGAGTAACTAAATTAGTCATCCATCTTGTCCAAATCACAGCTCGATAATGTGCAATATGGGATGCTTATAAGCAGTAACAGTCCCCATACAGAATTCAATCAATTGCCTAGCTCTGATACTAGACTTTTTGTAATCCTTCAGAAGGTAAACAATAAGAACAAACCAATTTGCGATAAGATCAGGAAGTTGGCCCTAAGAAAAGCAATCATTTCATTTGTTCCATCACAAGCTCAGAAGCATACAC